TAAGAACAGGACCATTTGATTTAAAGAAAATAGAAAATAAATTTTTTGGTTCAAATCTGCTTCGACGAACTACAGTAGTTGGTGATTCACCTTCGCCAACCCAGCTTGCGTTCTTTGACTTATTATTATGAAGAGCTTTATTTGAGTGATTTGACCTAATCGGTCCTGACCACTTACATTTGATAAAAATTGTCTAGCACATAGAAAAAAAAAGAAGAAGAAAAGAAAAGGAGAGAAAAAAAAAATACAGTTACGTCGGATAGACGAGAGTTACCATGATAGAGTATAAAGAGACAACAAGTTAGAAAGATACATCAGGATGATGAAGGTGGATCAATAAAAGTTTCTGTTGAAATTGATTTATTGCATTGATTTTGATAAACAAATTGCACCAGTTTGTCAAAATAAGTAGGGGAGTTTTGATAGAATTTAATTAGGCGTGTGCTAGGTCGGCCTCTCGGCAATGATTGTATACATACCTTTTCCATATAGTGGCGACATGTTGTGTTAATGATGTTTTTATTCATTATATAACAGGAGATTAGCTCCTGTTCATGTTTCTCAATATTTGTAAGCCGGTTTATTAGGCTTTTTTTGAATTTCTCTTCCAATGTAGGAAGTAAAAATTTTGTGTGAAGGTCAATAGTTGAGCATTCAAAAAGGTGATAAATTATCCGTAAACATCGTCTATAAAAACTATTTACCCTCTGCTTCAAAGAGTTTGAGAGGAGACAATAGATTGTTGCCACAGCAAGAAGATGTGGCCATATGTATGTAGTGAAGAACAGCAATTTAAGTTTATAAAAAGACGGAAATTGCCGATGAATATATTTTAAAATTGAATATGTCTGGCGACATTTCATAAGTTGTCCATCAACCAATGGTTTAAATGACAATCTCGCATCTAGTAGGAATCCTAGATACTTGAAGGTTTTCGTTTGTTCTAATGAAGACCCCTCGTAGACTATTTTTAATTTTGGCTGGTTGACTATGTTTGTGAATACAACAAATTGGGTCTTTTTAACATTAACTGGTTGATGCCACTGAATTGTGTACTCTAGCAATTTTTGTAAATCTTTATTGATTCGTTCTTCGATGTTGATTAGTTGGTTCTTGTAGTTACGGTATATACTTGGGATGTATATACTACCTAAATCATCTACATAAAGGTGGTTATTTTCAGGACGTTCGAATATTTGCTGAAGGTCGTAATGAGCTACGGTATAGGCTATGGCCCCAAAAACACTTCCTTGAGGAGCCCCTCTCGCTATTGTGATGCTGTCAGACAGAAGGCCATTAAAATCTATAATCATTGCCCTTTCCTTAAAAAAATTTGTAATCCATAACAGGTATGGAATTGGACAATTTAATCGATTGAGTTTAAGAAGCAGGCCCTGTTGCCACAACATATCAAAGGCTTGTTTAAAGTCGACAAAGAGAACTGGTGTAAACGTATTATACCGAAGAGAGTTTGTTAATTGTTCGAGAAGATGATTTACTCTTGAGTTTGTGCTTTGATGTGCTCTAGCACCTGACTGTTGCCATGGTAAAATGTTGAGACCTTGCAGCCATTTCTGAAATCTAAGCAGAAATAGACGTTCATATACTTTTCCGAAAACTGGTAAGAGAGAGATAGGACATAGTTGTTGCGTCGTTGGTGCTGGGCTGTCAGACTTATTAAAACAAATAGTTCGCGCTCGTTTCCAGCTTTTGCTCCAATGTACCGTTGAAAATAATGCATTATACTGTAATGCTAGTGTGTGGGCATAGTTTTGCGGCAGCTGCTTTATCATTTTATTTGATATTCGGTCAAAACCTGAAGAGTTTTTCGACTTCAACCCAGTGATCACATTCCATACTTTCTTCGGCGAGAATTGTAGGTCTGATTGTTGGCAAGCAAGTTGAATATCGTCATACTCTGCTTGACTCAATTTTTCCCAAAGCTCCTGCGCTTCCTTATCGGTTTTTTTATTTGGATCGGCATCAGGTGAGGCAAACCTTGTTGTAAAATGATGTGTAAGGTGAGAAAGGATTTGAGATGGATTATTGTATATGTTTTTATCATCTGTTATCGCTGCAAATTGAACAGAGCGTTTTTTGTTCAATACCTTCACCGTTTTCCAAAAAGTAGAAGGATTTGGTGATGCGATATTTGAGATGAAACGGTTCCAGCTGTTTGCTCTATGTTGTCTAAGTTCGCGTTGGACTATGTTATGCCAAGTTCTCAGATTGAGCCTATTTTCTTCTGTTCTTGAATGGCGATAGCGATTCTGAAGATAATGTTTATGTTTTAACATTTCCCTTAAGGCCTTTGAAATAGTAGGTCGTCGTCTATTGATTCTATGCCATTTCGTGATGCGAAGTCTTAGAGCAGCAAGAAAATCTTGAAATAGATCAAACCAGTCGGATGGACCACTGTATGCGAAGTGGAAAAATTCCTGAATTTCTGGATACAAGACGATAAGAATTGTTTGATATATATCCCAGTTTACTTTTGGGATCTGGTTGTTTCGATTAATAATTGGAATATTAGCAAATTCAGTCATGATTGGAATATGATCACTTCCATTATATGCTAATGGCTGACATTGTACCGAAAATTGATGTTCAGTAGAAATTATTAGGTCGATTGTTGTTTTAGAACGAAGAGAAGTTGTCATTCCTTGGTTATGCACCATTAGATTGTTCATTCGCAGCCATTGCTCTAGTTCACGACCTTTTTTATTACGCAATGAGCAACCCCATTGTTCATGCTTCGCATTAAAATCACCTACGAAAATACTAGACTTTGATATTTTGAGCATTTCAGACATGCTCTGCAGTGGTAATGGCTCAGTAGGTGGTGAATACACCGAAGTTACCGTATATGATTTATTGTTAATTGACAGAAGCAAGGTGATAATATTGGTTTGATGTTGATCGTGAACGGCGGTGGCATGGAATTGCTTGTCAACAGCAATTACTACTCCTCCATGCGTATTCGATCCTTGTACTTTAAATACGTCGTATGAAAATAAAAGCTTTTTGATTGTGCTCAAAGGCACGTCAGTACCAAGTTCATTTATCGATATTATGTGTGGGTTATAGTCTTCAATCATGCTCAAAAGATCACCTTGATTTGCATAAAAATTTCGTATATTGTAATGAAGCAGCGACAAATTACTATTATTTTCCTGTGGATGTTGCTGGTGAGCTTGCCATTTGGCGAACAATATTGGTCGTGGATAGGTCCAGCACCATTCTTCTATGATTTCTAGAGCTATATTCCGATTATTAACATCCCAATCTTTGGTTAATATTCCGAGTTTCTCTTTTAATTCTATAAATTTATATATATTAAATTGATTCATGGTTTAAAGTTTACGAGAGAACATTTGTTTGTATTTGTGTCAAATTATTTCGCTGTCTCTGTCTTCTAGAAATTGGTGTGTTCAATTTTTGATCTTGACGTTCCATTAGGAGAAGTTGTATTCTTTCAAAACACGAAAGTGCTTCCTCCTGTTGCTGATTTCGTCGAGTTAGATTTGGCTGTTTCTGTTGAGAGGACGAGTCTATCATTTTTGCCATTTCTTGAATCGCAGGAATTATTACTTTTTGAACTTGATACTGAATTTTATTTACTCGTTGTGTATGCTCATCGATTTTCGCTGTTAAAGTGGAAATTTGTGATGTTAATGTTGCTGAGATGTCTGATAATTGTCGATTTATTGAGTTTGAAAACCCCATGATTAATTGTTCGACATTTTCAAAATTGATCTTGTTTTTCTGTGTGACAACTGACGCATATGAATGCTTATTGTTTTGTTGGTCATTATTTAGTGTTAAATTTACGTGTGGATTTGCTACTTGGCTACTAGAGCGAGGCGATAATGGTGGAAAAGCTATATTGTTATATTCGAAAGATTGTTGTTGCTGGATTAGCAACTGTGCACGTAGCATTTTCTGTTGATTCGCAATAGACTTGCGTTTTTGTTGAACCACAGGACACGATGAATGACCAGAGTAATGATTTTGATGACAATTAACGCACTTAATTTCGTTTTGGCAACCATTCTCCAAAGAGTGATGTTGCCCGCATCTTATGCACAAATGTTGGCTCACGCATTGATTGGTATAATGATCATGTCTATGACATTTTTTACATTTATTGACTTTGATGGGTGAGTAGTATGGTCGAACTTTCAGTTTCATATAATTTAATTCGATTTCTCCTACAGAAAGAAGTTGTTTTACGAATTTTGACGAGGAAAAATCAGCACGAACAGCTTTTAGCACTCTGCCATTGCGAGCTACGAGACGAGTTAGGTTTAGAAGAGATATATATTTTACTTTCAGATCGTCAGTTGTTTCGATTTCACTCCAGGATAATTGAAAATCTTGAATAACTAGTGAGTATGAGTCTGGTAATCTATTTGGAAATTTGACTTTAAATTGAATTTGATCGAGTTTGCTTGGCCACTGCGACCTGTTAAGTAATTCATCAAAAGTAGATAAATCACGAGCAAAAATAAGCAAGACATTCCGGAAACCAAATCTTCCAAGAACGTTGATAATCTTGTTGTTTTTGAGTTTCCACTCCTTTATTAATTCTTCAGTCAATTTACGATCAGATTTATCGTGTTTCTCCGTGAATTCGACAATGATTGGAGGAAATTCATTTCGATCTGATGACGTCATTTGTTGATTTACTACGTTAATGTTTGGTGTTTTATTTTGTCGATAGATCGTTTGAGAATTGATCTCGTTCCGTTCATCAGAATCGGATCGTAATCTTTTATTTGTTCCAGGTGTTTGAAAACCTGATTTAGGAAATGGACACGATGATGACTCATCATCCATTTTATTGTAAGAGACACAGTTCACACGAGATGTATGTATCGTTTACTACAGAAGAGAAAAGAAAAATACGTCTTACCACTATATCGACGAGAGAACGAAGGGTGTGGGTGTGGGTGTGGGTGTGGGTGTGGGTGTGGGTGTGGGTGTGGGTGTGGGTGTGGGTGTGGGTGTGGGTGTGGGTGTGGGTGTGGGTGTGGGTGTGGGTGTGGGTGTGGGTGT